GGTTGGCCTTTTGTTTTTCTTTCTTACGAGTATCAAACCTAACCTTTTGTAGTTTAATTTTCTTATGATTTGACGTCATTCTAAAAGTTTTTTATATACCATTTTTACCTATACCAGCAGTAGTTAAAGCTAACCAAATGACGACTGCAGACAACCATAAATAGTTAACAAGGGACTGCCTGTTTAATCATCTGGAGCGAATCTGAACATACAAGAGGAGGAGGAGGTGAGGTCTAGTTTGTAGATTCACGACTAGGGCAGTCTGACACTTGCTTTGTAACACCAACTTTATGCATGATCTCAGATACCATGCGTCCACAACACACTTTTAGTAAAATGTATGTAGTGAAACTACCCTCCAAAGAAGACTATCTAAATGGACATGTCATCTGTGACGTCAATAGTCTTATAGAGTTCACCGATGGGTCAAAAATGGGCGACGACGACAGTAAAGTAGTAGTAGTCTACCTATAATAATACCTAAACATAATGTTTGTTTTGAGTATTTAGTGCTAATTTGTTAAGAAATGGCAAAATAAATATCTCTTTCTTTCTTCTTTCTTTGTAAAAAACATTCGTTAAATAGTTTTATTATTCATTATAATAGAATACTTTACAAATTACTTACTCTAATAATTTTCTTTTTACAATTTTTGTTTTTTAATAATTTATTGTTTCTTTGAATGGTGTGGTAAATTCTGAATCTAATATACAGTTTTTTCAAGTAATCTAACGAGAAAAACTCACATGGTTAATCATATTTACTTTTAAGTATTTCGTTGCCAAAATGAACAATATTTATTTCTAGATCGAAATATTTGCTCAAACAATTAACAAATGTGATAAAATTATCAGGAGATATAATTAAAAAAACCTAATTGTAACACTTACCATAATTAAAATCCTCGTAACGCCTGAATCTTTGCCCGTATTTATAGGTTGTTCAGATCTCATAACCTATTGTACTCCTTGGGATGGTTAAAGTATGATATATCATTATTTTTTATTTATTTATTTATAGGTAATCATACAGCGTTTTTATCTTATTTACAATACATATCATCATATAGTAAGGCCAATAGAGATTACACAATTTTTATCAACTAATAATTAAGCGTGCGTGCGTGCCTGTGTGTGTGTGTGTGTGTGTGTGTGTGTGTGTGTGTGTGTGTGTGTGGGATATGTGTGTGTGTGTGTGTGTGTGTGTGTGTGTGTGTGTGTGTGTGTGTGTGTGTGTGTGTGTGTGTGTGTGTGTGTGTGTGTGTGTGATTAAGCCCTATTTTTGTTTATAACATCACGTTTGAAGCGACTCTTGGATAGGTTGAAAATATCCAAGTCAGCGTAAAACTTATTATAGTTTTGAACAATACGACATAAAGTAGAATTTTTTGCGTAATTTGTTTTTGCTCGTGGTACGTGAAATAATGGCGTATGTCTAGTTCGGTATTTAGGTACTAGTATCGATATTTTAGATAACAGGTCTGGACAATCTATGTTACCAGACCATAAACCGTGTAGCAAAAACATATCGTGTTGAAGTCTTCTGAGCTCCAAGGTATCTAAGCATATTATATATTAGGGGTAAAATTTGCAAGCATCTTCGTATGAAGCAAAACTATTATGATCTTTTGATGAGATAAACTTAATGAACAGTTTTTGAATTGATTCTATTCGATGCTTATGCTTCGCATACTTTGGAGACCAGATTGTATTAGCGTATTCGAGAACACTCCTTACGTATGCAAAGTATAGAGCTTTAATGCAATTAATACTGCTAAAATCGTTGCAGACGCGCTTTATGAATCCAATTTGTTTGTAGGCTTTGTCAACAATGCTATCTATATGCTCATTGAACGTTAATTTTGAGTCCAGCCTGATACAAAGATCTCTAACTGATGATACACTATTTATGGATTTATTGTTAATTGAATAATTGTAATCTATGAGCTGTTTCTTGCGACTGAAGGTTATTTTGACACATTTTTCACTATTGATAGTAATTCTATTTTTGCTGTAATAAGTTTCTAGGTTTTTTAAATCGTTTTAAATCAGAACACAGTCATCAATTGTTTTTATTTTTAGATAATTTTTTTTGTCATCTGCGAACATTAAATAGTTTGAATGATAGAAGCAGTCACTGAATAAATAGGCGTTGTAGAACAAAGGTCCGAGTATTGAGCCTTGTGGGACACCAGATGTTACCATAATAAAATCACTACGAGCACTACCCAGTAACACTGCTTGCCTTCTGTTACTTATGTATGAAGTTACCCATCTGTGCAAATCACCATGAATACCCAAACTGTAAAGTTTACGTAAAAGGATGGCATGATCAACACGGTCAAATGCTTTTTCAAAGTCCGTGTATATTACATCGACCTGCTGCCTGTCATCCATGCTCATATATATGTATATATAATTGGTTAAATTAGCTAAATTTGTTACAGTTGATATTTTATTTATAAAACCGTGTTGTTCAATTGGTATTGATTTTAAGATTATGGGACTGATGTGTATAAAGATAAGTTTTTCAAAAATCTTTCCAAATGTGTTTAATATGGAGATTGGGCGGTAGTGCTCAATTCTGCTTTTTCGTCCACTCTTATGTATAGGTATTATTAGAGCTTCTTTCCACTTACTAGGAAATGTTCCATAGATGTTAACAGACATATTAAAGATTATTGAGAGAGGCTTGGCCAAGTGTTTTGCACATTTATGTATAAATAGGGGAGGTATGCCATCGCTACCAGGCCCTGTATTAGTTTTAATTGTATGTAGAATACGATAAACATTTTTAGTACTAAAGTATATATTATGTAATATATCATTTGATTCTACGTTTGGAATATGGGAATAATCGTAAGAAGAAGAAGGTTTTTGAAAAACACTTTCAAAGAATTTATTAAATCCCGCACACACGTTCGTTTCGTTTGTGTATGATTCATTTCCTAATTTTAATGTATTAGGGTATGTAGAGTTGCTATTACGTATAGATTTTAAATAAGACCATAATATTTTAGGATCTTTTTTTAGAAGGCTTTGCATTTTATCTAAGTAACGCTCGTGGAACTGTTTCTGTAATTTCTTTTGTCTAGTACGTAGTATGCAAAATTCGTCATAATCACGGGGATTTTTATATTTTTTCCAATGTTTAATGTTGTAAAAGAGCTTTTCTCGAATAATATGCCTTAGTGATTTAGAATACCAAACAGGGTAATTAGATGAACGGGATAAACAAGTAGGTACAAATTTATCAATTATTAGGTGTAGCTGGAAATAAAAATTTTGAACTACGACATCAATTGAGTTACCAGTTAACAAGGAAGACCAGTTGACTTCTGAGAGGGCTTTATTTATTTTATCGTAATCAACTCGGTTAAAGTTTAATTTTGATCGTGGTTTATTTTTTAAGCAGGGTATTAGCAGATCAGATGCGTCGAGCAGTAAAGAAGGATGGTATTTATCCTCAGATACAAGATATATTTGAGAACGAGTAACGTCTATGTTTATGTTACTAAACACTAAGTCTAGTACGTTGCCACTATTGTTGCTAATAATATTATGTTGATTTAGCCCTGATAAGTTGCATAGATCAGTTAACTTTATTGTAGCATTTTGTAATTCTACTGGACTTTGCTTAAGCATTACGGGACCTGAAGAGGACCAAGATATATTCGCTAGGTTGAAGTCACCGGCAATTATAAAATGATCATTTGGACATTGTGTTATGATTTTTGTGAGCATTTCTGTAAAATTATCTAAACGCTTTGATTGATAATTATCAGGCGGTATATAAACAACTCCAATGTTTAAATTACGTCTGTCTTGACAAATTGAATATTTTCCTGGTATTGTTACCCACAAACATTCGAGATCTCTACACATCCATTCCGTCCGTTCTTGAGCTTGTAATTGTGTATACGTACAAATCATGACCCCCCCACCCTTCTTTTTATGCGAAGATGTTTTATTTCTATCATACCTAAATATGTCGTACCTATTGTCACACAATTCACCGTTGTAAATACCATCAGTCAACCAAGTTTCTGTAATGAGTATTATGTTGAAGTTATTACAAATTATACTGTCTCTAAATTGCCTAGTTTTAGTTCGCAAGCCACGGAAGTTTTGATAGAATATGTGCATTGAGTTATGAGGCACTTTTAGCATGATTTAGGTACCATTGTGTTGTAATTAACTTATAAAAATTATATTTATCATAGTAATTGATAGTAATTTAGATAATAAGTATATTATGTAACAGAAATAATACAGGTTGAAGAGCCATGAGGGATGGTTTTGCAACAGACAAGGAATTTTATTTTTATACAAGGTAAGAAATGGTAGCTTATACATTTCTTTTGTAGGGCATATTGGTGTAAGTATTCAGTATTGATGTAAATTTTGAAAGATGTGTGTGAATGTAAGAATTTGATGTATGTAATAATGGATGTGTAAATCGTAAGTGTTGTTTTATGTGTTAAATATGTAACTATTAATATTAAAAAATAGCATGCTAATACTATCAAAATTAATCTTATCATACAATTTTTAATAAATCTTTTTCGGAATTTATAGTGATAGCGGGAGACTCCTCGTTTTTCCTTAAAAAAATGTGGCAGTTTCTGACCCAGACAAACTTATATGATTTGGCCATTGCTCGTGATTTTACTATTTTCAAGAGTTGCTTATTCTCAGGGGTCAGGTGTTCGTTAACAAAAAGCCTTTTGGCTGGACCACCCAGTCCAATATCGGAAGTAGTAATTCGTTTGGTTTTTCGGAGCCCTGAAATAATATTATCTTTAATAGTGCGATTCTGAAATTTGACTACAATGTTTTTTGGGCGACCTCCAACATTCTGCATAGGCTGAACTCGGTGCGCAAAAACAATTTGATCATCCCTAAGCTTTATTCCTGCATGGCTGGCTATTTTGATTATTAATTCAGAAGTTGATTTTTTTGAGTTTTCTGGTAAACCAACAATCTCTAAGTTCGAAAGTCTACCCCATTGTTGTTTTTTTTTTATTTGCGCACATAATTCCGCCAGTTTCATCTCGCCATTCTGGACATTTTGTTGAAGTTTTTTCAAAATTACTTTTAAGATTGTTGTAGTCATTTAGCAAACTGTTATGCGATTCTTCCAGCTGTTTAAGGTTATTAGTTATTTCGTTTTTTATTTCAGTGATAAGTGATAATTTCAACTCTTGAATTATATCGAATTTTATAGCACTGAGTTTTTTGTCTAACAGTAACTCTATGCTATTAATTAATTCCAAATTATATGGTTGGCAACTACTGGTCTCAGTGATACATGTAGGCTGGTCAGTACTTTTGTTTGATGATCTATACGTAGTTTTATCGTAAACGGTGTTTGAAGGAGACTTATTAGTTCGTATCGGAGTGTTACTGTTATCACCTTTTCGATAAGAAGCAGTGCAAGCGGGACACTTCCATTCAGATCTTGAAGCAGTATCATTATTAAAATTTATGCACTCTGAATGGTAGTTATGCGAACATTGTGTGCATTTTATTCGTTTTTGAGTAACATTTATGTTTGCTCTGCATGCTTCACACCTTCCGCCCATTTTACTATTAAATAAAGCGTTAAAATGCAGAGAATGTAATACAAATTATAAGTACAAAAAGTGCGTCAACTCCAATATACAGTGCAGTGGACTCGATCCTCCGTCGCTTTAACTTTTAATTGATATGCACACCGTTAGGCCGTTCGACCAACACGCCTTGAACAGCTACGATGAAATTTTTGAATTCCTTGTACGATATGCAATAGTCCTTCAAGTTTTGTTAAAGGGTAAGTTAAAATGATTTTGCTAATTTTTCTTAACTTAGATCACTTTTATCAGAACTAAGCACCAATGTATTTTGAAAAACTATTATAGTCTCACAACTATTGCACTATACCACTAAGTAACGATGTTTGAAACGTTTAACGATTAATTTGATCGGAACACTTTTTAACACGTCCACTCGCTTAATGTCGGTACTTGTAATTCAATTGAATATTTATTTCTGTTATGTATCCATTTATATCAGTATTTATTTATAATTTTTTGTTTAATGTACTTTGAAAAACTATTATAGTCTCACAACTATTGCAATATACCACTAAATAACGCTGTTTGAAACGTTTAACGATTAATTTGATGGGAACACTTTTTAACACGACCACCCGCTTAGTACGTTTTTTTCTAGTATTATTCATACACATAGTTCAATAAAGAAGCATTATTAATAATACCACGTTTTTACATTAAAATATTCAAACTTGCAACTAACAAGACGAATAACGTGCGTCACAATGACCCTGAGATTTTCCACTGGCTGTGCCAGCGTAACCGGTTTTTTCCAGTCTCGCCGCGCGTACGCGACAAGCGGCCAGTGGTCACGCACACATGCAGCGAGTGCTTATAGTAGTGCATCCGATTCGTGCGGTTGTGTGCTTTATCTCTGTTCCGTTTATCTACTCATGTGCTGACGGTAACCTTACGTTAAAATGTTTAAACAACATATTAAAATACTTGAATGTAACCACTATAAATCAGTTAACACATGGTGAAGAATGATCACTAAAGTGTTTATATAATTATTACAAAACTTATTTTTATTAGCATTGATTTTAAATATTAATTATACGATATTTTTGAGGAGCAAAGAAAAAGCATGTAGACATGACGGTATGTGTCTCTCTCTTTGTACGAAAATCAACCTGTAAAAACACTACGTCAATCAAATCATATATTTATCAACTCTGACATTCAAGCAGCACTGTTAGCGTTGATATCAAACTTAGTGATGTCAAAGCTAGTTAGAGACTGTGTAAACCGTTTAAAAACCCTCGGGTGTGACAAGAGAGTCGTTTCTAGGTTAATTCCGGGTGATTCGGGTATTATAGGCAATGACCAAAAATCCTCGCTGAAGAACGACGATTTCTTCCAAGGATAATTCTCAAGGCTATTGAAATCAAAAATCATCCTAATTTCAATAGAGAAAATGGCTGGGTGCTATCATTTGCTCGAAATGCTATAATTAATAAAATAAAATTTCAACCCAAGCACACAAATGTAAGACTTCAGGATACTATAAGTTCATACTGTGTAGATCGAAACAAAAATTACCAATTTTAATCTGGAGATAGCCGTGGTTAACTATAACATTGGAACGTCGAACATCTCAATCCCCTCCATGACGCTGTGCGCTGTAAAGTGTTCGAAACGTCGTGGGGATCATAAGTTAATATACGCGATATAATCAGTAAAAACTAGTATTATTTAAATGTGTAGGAGTAAATATAAGAAATCATTACCTAATTACAAATCTAAATGCGAAGATCTCTGGGTAAAATCTGTGTTGCGTACCTTTCACTTTTGCTACGTTATATATTCAATTTCGAAAAGGAACAATAATTATTATTGTGAGAAAAATTACTATTGATAAATTGTATTCGAAAGTACACACTTTTATGTCACTATTAAGTAATCAACAAAATAACATTTTACTATCATTCTGTAACATAAAGTTTTCAGTGAGATCAGCGTCCTCTGGCTTCAATTTAAACTTCGTCCTTATTGCAAGTTAAATGCAACTTTAAAAAATACTTGACTTCAAAGTATTCAAAGCGTATGTACGAGAATATTATGAGAAAGTAATTTCAAACTTGTACTGTACTGTATACACATACAAAAGTATTTAGTAACAGCACATTATAAAAAATATTAAGAGAGGGAATACTGTTACCGCTACAGCCCGCTAAAGTTCACTGCAGAATATAGGCCTTCCCAATAGGTTGCTTCTTAGGGAGATCTTTGGTAAGCTGGTTGGCAACCGCAGTTTTTTATTTTTATTCGTTATTAGGAAGGCACTGCTGGCCATCTCTTGATTTGTTTCCCATTGTCACCTCTTACTACACCCACGGGACGATATAGGGTAATGCATATTCTTATACCGGTTTAAAGATCTTAATTTCTCAATAAGACAATCGTCACTTACATGAGAAAAATAATTATATAAACTTAGTAATAACAATTTGTGGTGCGGGTATAAATAAAACTTAGTTGGATGTCGCTTTTAAGAAGCGAATATCTTTGTTGCTTATTCAAATTATAAGGTGGTGGTCCAAGTTAAAATTAATTATATTATATTTTTTTTTTATATATATATATATATATATATATATATATATATAATAATTTTAAATTTTATATATATAATGATGTAAGTTAGGTATTCAGCTGTTGTGAATATAGGTAGGCAAGTAACTTCTGTTTGAAAGCATTCAAAGATTTCGCCTCCTTTAGAAATTTAGGCAGATTGTTATAGGTATTGTTTGAGGTACGACTGTGCTCCTTTATAAGTTACCATAGTTTGTTCATATATACATATATATATATATATATATATATATATATATATATATATATATATATACACATATAAGGAGGGAATGCTCAAGCAGTATCGATATTTTTTTTAACGTGTCCTTAGACTTGTTATAGATAAAATTTAAAAACTCCACTAGGTGTTAAGAGGCCTTTTCAGCTAGGAGTCTCTCTGGATTGGAATTACCTATTTCCTCTCATTATCCTCTTACCTATTTCAGGCGTAAAATAGCATTTCTGGCTTTGCTGTATTCCGGACTAAAGGCTTAAACCAGTACAACTACAGGCATTGAGGTATTCCATCTTAGACCTTAGAGGTTCCTCCATGGTTGAACTGTGCATTCTGGTGGACCACGAGTATGATGTATTCAGGTGAAATGTGTGTTTGTTTGTTACTTCAGTTTTATAAAATAAAATTCGTTACTGACTTAAGAAAATTCATCAGTATTGAGTGTGGATGTCAAATTTTTCTTACATATTAAATGAAACTAATTTTACAGAACAGAACTCGAAGTTGTTGACGAATACGTTTACCTGGGACAAATAGTCCGACTAGGTAAGTCCAACTTCGACCGAGAGGTCAATCGACGGATTCAACTCGGCTGGGCAGCGTTCGGGAAATTACGGCATATCTTTTCGTCAGGTATACCTCAATCTCTAAAAACTAGATTGTACAACCAGTGCGTGTTGCCAGTGATGACTTACGGATCTGAGACGTGGTCCTTCACTGCTGGCCGTATGAGGACGCTTAAGGTCGCTCAGCGAGCTATGGAGAGGGCTATGCTCGGAGTTTCTCTGCGTGATAGACTCAGAAATGAGGATATCCGCAGTAAAACCAGAGTGACCGACATAGCCCAACGGATTAGTAAGCTGAAGTGGCAATGGGCCGGCCACATAGCTCGAAGAACCGATAACCGATGGGGAAGAAAGGTTCTCGAGTGGCAGCCTCGTACCGGTAGGCGTAGTGTAGGGCGACCCCCCACTAGATGGAGTGACGACCTGGTAAGACATGCAGGAAGTCGATGGATGCAGGTGGCTCAGGACCGTGCTTTGTGGCATTACTTGGGGGAGGCCTATGTTCAGCAGTGGACTTGTGAAGGGCTGTAATGATGATGATGATGAATTTTACAGAACGGTCACAAAAGTTATAATATACCTATATACTATGTATATATTTCATATTACATACATTTTCGTTCTTAACATTAACATTCACGACACATTATATTATTACATTAAAGGTGGTTTGACAGAAAATGATTCATTATAAAATCATTTCAAATTAAAAATAACGATAAAGATTCAACATGAACTTAAATGAAAAAATCCGATTATTAAAATTATTGTTGATTATTAATGTAAATGATATATTGATTGAAGTAATACGTACAATCATATCTCCTTTTGTTTCAACTGGTATTCAGTCAAGACGTAATCAACTGGGTCGATTTGCTTCAGACAGTCCGTGTACTATCTTTAAGCTAAATTTCACATTCAGCGATACATTCGTATAAGACTCAGAACCGATTTCATAAAAACGAATGTTGAATAGGAAACAAAGGTTCGCTTTATGAACAAATCAATTTCAATTTATCGTAGAATGGATGTTAATTGTTCGATAAAGCTCTTATATTTAGTTCAAATTATTATTACTGTAAAAAAAAACAAATATATATTTTAAGGTCATATTATTAACGGAAAAACACACGACAACAAGGTATAGGAATATTTTAACACTTTCAACTTTATTTCTCATTAAGACAATAAGTGTTACGTACATGAGAATAATAATATCTTTATTATAATTATAATTCTATTTGCTTATATATAATTTAATTGCATGTGGGTCGTAAAAAACATATCGGTTGATTGTCAATCAACAAACAAGAAGAGAGTTCATTGCGTTCCTATTAACTATAAGGCTACCCGATATGCACACAAAGTTTCATACAAATCGGTTCAGCCGTTTCGGAGAAGTTTGGTAACAAACATCGCGACACGAGAATTTTGTATATTAAGAATGTATATATATATATATATGTGTGTGTGTGTGTGTGTGTGTGTGTGTGTGTGTGTGTGTGTATTGTTATCATTGTATTGATATCTTTGCAATGACCTGCGTTATTAAGACAAATATATTGAGGTATCGCTTATTAAATTATAATAAAAAAAAATGTTAAATTTATGGA